CCTCACTATCACCAAGAAGGCCGGTCATGATCGTTTCACTCAGGTCACCTGAGAAGCAGAAAAAAGAAAAGCTTTGAGGTCGGTTGCGTACTTCTGGCTGTAGACCCCAAGCAAAAGGGGTTTTGGCATCCAGTGCATAAACAGGCTTTGCATTCTGAAAACCTCGAAGAAAAAATTTAGCTTAAGCCCAAAGTTCAAATAGTCTAGGATACCGTATCACTGATTTCCGTATTCTGATCAGTCGCAAATGAGCTCTAAGATTTTGTAGCCTATGTCGAGATGAACGCCTATGCCTTTCTGCACGAAAGCCTTCTTTCCAGAGAGCTCCTCTCTTGAGCTCAGTTGACACTGAAGTCATTCTGTCATACGCAGCTGTACGAGGATCTCCATGAAAGACCTCGAGTACCCGAAAGCCTCCATATGAACGTTTCGTAGGCTTCTCTTGTTAATAGCTGTGGACATCATCAACTCACATCGAAGTATTCCTTTTGTCCAGATTGTATGCTATTCCCAGAAAATGTTGCCGGGTTTCTTTCGAGCTAGGCGAGAAAAAGGAATAAAATGGAGAAAGGGACATGCTCTCATTTTCCTCGGCAGAAGAATTGACCCCCACCCTGGAATGAACCAGGAATAATGAAAGAGAATATGCAGTATAGCACTAAGAGGTATGCCATTAGATATCGCATTCAACATGTTGAATAGACGACGTACTAGTTATGAAAAGCAACAACTTCATATTAAGAACCGATGGCACGACAATCACGGGGAAAGTGCGAAGTACATCTGCACGGGGCTGGACGTGCATGACATCACCAGAAAGCAATGGTGAAATGGACATCAATTCATGGGCGTGACATCGATGGAAGGAAACGGAAGAACGAAAGACTTGTTACTAAATCGAGTGGCAGCAAGGAAATGATCTTCATTCCTGTGCATGGGGCCTCCGGAAAAAAGTGAACGCCTCTTCTGGAATTCCTTGCACAAAAACCTCGCAATTCTTAACGAAGGCAATTGTTGTCCTATTTGTCGAGATGTAGATGGGTTTAATATAGTAATATGAAGCGATAGAATTGACTAAAAGAAATGAGCCTTCATCCTAGGACTATCAAAGAAAGCCAGCAGAAAGTCCGATTAAAAATTTGATTGACTCTTTAATAATCGGCATGAGTCGGCACTTGGTAAGGGTTGGTGCGTGGTCATGAAAATGACTGCAGCGGTCAAAGACAGTCCTCAAGGAATTTTCGACACAAGCGCTCTTTGTATATTCCGTGGAGTATTCTGCTTGCACATATGCGCTATCTTGAATGAGTGTGTGGGGAAATCAGCATTAAAAATTGAAAAGAAGAATGTGTGCCTCCCTCTTCCCCCTCCTGCCCTCTTCCTTTGCTTATGCCCCACTTTTTATTCAGTTTCTCCAACCACGGCGGTAGACCCTTGGGGCACGAGATACGCAGAAAGAAAGAGTTTAACGTGAGACACGTGTTACCTAAGAAGATGGAACTATAATCCAATCATCCCATCTTTCTGGATCTTAGTTTTTTCAACAAGGTCAAGGTAAATCCTGCGAGAACTTCGAAAGGCTCCCCTTGATATTCATCTGTTGTATGTGGCAACTGAGGAATTTCGAGTAGGGTGCCATAATTAGCAAAGTCTAATGGAAAAGAATACAGGTAGAAATTCTCATGCATAAGCAAAAAAAAGAAATATTTCTTTTTTGTTTGCTGAACCCTTAGCGACCCGAACGAAAATCGACCTTGGAGTGGGTGGGGACAGACAGGTTGGGAACTGCTGCAAAACATGCATCTACAGAATTGATCCGTTTGCCCTTAAAAAGGATTTATGCACCATATGTCAGTGATTTCCTTTCCCTTTCTCCTGGCCCATAACCGCAGTACAATTTATCAATGAATTGCATGGCACATACGTGATTTAGTTCCATCAATTCTGTTCCTTCATGGGTTTGGAATATAATGGGAATGTTCATTGGATGAGAGGGGGAGGGGGTGGGGGGGAAAGAAAAATATGAAAGACCTGAGGTGCGACCATTAGAGCGTTTCTAATGGCGTCAGACATGATTGAAAAATCAATACGCATGAGCCTACACGCAGCCTGGCCGCGGTCGTCAGGTGTTGTCTTCTCCCTCGTCATTACTTTTCCATTGAGTCTTTTGTCGATCACATGGCACCCGTGCATCCCCCATACATGGGAGATGCCCTACTCATGGGAATTCGCTTTGAGTTCACGCTAAGTCACGCCTAGTTTTTCATTTGCTTTCCTTAGTGCCGAAGAAATCGGCAGTAATAGAGTTTGAGTATCATCAAATTAAGATATCTTCTAATTTGGCGCTGCGCGTTCTCGATGCTTGGGATTCACATTCCGATAGAAGCCCAAGCAGCTCATACATTGGTTACCCCTGCACCTAACGCTTGGCCCATGAGAAGGCAACAAGGCCCGTCAATTAAGGCTGAAAAGCATAAGAAATAAGTCCTTTTTTTAAGACAGGACATGTGGCAGAAGCACACACGACAATGAACGTATAAATAGAGAGGAAGGGGTTCCTGCTTGGCACTGGCACCAAGACCAAAATTAATCTCTCAGACAGGGACACGCCTCTACAATCCCAGGAGAAGCTCACAGGTTGCGTAGGCTGACAGTGATTAAAGTGTACTGCTCCCGTAGTTCCGGGACGTGGCACACATAGTAGCGTGGAGCAATACACGCTATGAAGATACTACACCCCCCATGGTAGCAGTCGATCCCCCGCCTCCTGGGTCTCTCGGAAGCCAGAAACCACTCGGCCACCGAGCCGAGTTCGGATATACAGTATCTTCTGCTGTGTAGGAATGTGCCATTAATGTTTTTTTTTTTGTTCTTCTTGAACGGAAGCAACGAAAGATGGTGATATAGAACAATCGATGCAAAGAAATCGGGAAGGGATTAATTAGGAAAGGTAGGTTTTGGTTTGATATACGTAAGTATGCATTTTCTGTTTCCTGCATCAAAATTTACAGCGAATAATTGCCCTCAGAGCAACAGATACATGATTTTTTTCTCCTCAATCAAAATCCTCATGACAACTGTCATCTATTTTTGCTTATGGATTTCTTTTTATACCGCATTTCTCGTATTGTGGGTTTTGCGTCTTTTCGGGTCATTGGCTGCATGTAACACTTTCATCGATATATTTGGATCTTTGATGCGATTAAATGTGTCTAACCCTTATCCGAGCAAGGTAAAAGACGAACGTAGCCGGGCAAGGGACCCCCCTACTACTTTAAGTATATAGTGGGGGTTAACAGAAGGCAAAAACATGCTTACCACGAAGTAATGTCTTTATTTTATTGATTCCAATGAATTTCAAAAGTAATGCGACATTATTTTGCATCCAAACAATTTTTTTTTCCTAAGGTAAAATTTGGATGGTAAAACTAAGGTCTAAAAATGGGTAATTTTATTTCCGCTTTTATTTCGCCTGTTTCACTGTCTGAATTCCACGGCTACCGAATTTTACCGCCATATTTTACCGCATTCTTACCTGTAATGCACCTCAGTCTCATAGTTTCCCTCTTTTTCACCCGTGTTTTTTTAACTGTGTTTTACCTGCACTTATATTTACCTTTCACCTGTAATTTACAATTTGTTACCTTCGGTGTACCTTTTACATCCGATTTACCGTCTTTTATTACACATGATATATTGTTCACCTTATATGATTGGAGTAATATTAACCCTGATATTACGAATAAAATAAGTTGATGTAGTCCCAGACCAAGAACAAAAAGCTTAACTTACAAGAAATTCTCATCATGAAATTCTTGCAAACATTTATTTATGAGGTATTTGAGCTCACGGCTTCGCTGTCTAATCATTAGTCTTAAATTTCCAAATACATTTTTGCATTAGCCCATTCTTAGCTTCATAATCAAAAGCCTACTGACCAAGAGACAAACTTAGCCTAACGTGAAAAAAAAACACAACATGAAGGAAAATTTTCAGATGAGCCGAACAACTAACACTGGGTGAGACCGACTTGACGTCATGACCGACTAATTTCTTGTCGATAATTCATGGTACACCGTCTGCAGGCGTGTAAAGTTCGGAACTTTTTTTGGAACCCAGTATATATAGATATGTAGATGTATCGCGAAAAGACGCGACTCCGATCTGATTTGGCGCAAAAGGCAGGAAACCGTGGAAACATGGCATAGAAGGACCCCGTCGGTCAGCAGCATGGGATCCAAGGACGTCCTATTCTCCATTATGCTTTTTTTCTAATAATTTTTCCTTCGGGAGCTACGCTCGTAAAAATTTAAAGGGAAGAATTTCTGAGCTGATTCTGTTCTTCCACATAAGATACTCTGAGGAACGATACAGACAAAATATTAAGAGGGAGGTGTTCTCGTGTTTGATCCACAGAGGGGAAAACCGAGGTACTCAATAGCCTGCAGATCTATATAGTCTATAGATCAGTTGCACTGATCGATTGATAAAGGTCGTCGTAAAACATTCAAAAGCATTTTTATGCATGAAATGTATTATTATGCATCTGCAATCTTTCATCATCATCAACTGCAGTGAATTAAGTTATCCTGTACCCGGATGTATCTGTACCAGGATCTCGACCAGGAATCAAAGACAACATCTCATATTTAGGAAATCGTATAGATAGGATGTCTCCGGTGTCATCTTCCCCTGTCTTTCACGCAATTTGAGGATGGATGCATAGGTGACAGCTCGCAGGATTGAGGAGACTGTCTGGAAAGAGGAGAAGATAAGGAGTGATGCCCAGGAGCATATCTTTCTTGTCGTATCGAACGCTTCCGCGATGATGGATCACCATTCACATCCCCTTATTTGCTCCTCATGCGTTCACTGATCTCTTTCTCCTCCTTCGCGTCACGAAGCTCTCCTTTAATTCTCTCTAGATGCCTTCAAGATTCCGTCCACGTAATACAGTATTAGCCTCTTCTACCCTGCATCTTCACATTGGAAACAGGCCGATGTTCCACTCCGGTGATGTCTTCCTCAGCAACATACTGTTGATACGGCCAACGGAAACAATTTCTCTCTATATGAGGAGCGCCCTTCAGAAAATGATGTCCCTCTCATCTGTCATAGGATGTATAGGAAAGGACGCGGAAAGGGCAGGGTAAAAATATATTAGTGCCAGGATAAAATGTTGCTGAGAGAAAAGAAAAAAAATTAGCGAGGGGAACTTGGAATGCTGAAAGAAAGGATTATGTTGCCCCTTTATCCGCTTCAGACAAGTTCTCTTGACCCTCACCTTCCCTGCCGATAGGAGTTCCAGTCAGGAAGCTCGGCTGCCTTTGAGCTCCTTGACTGCAGGCTGGAAATTGTCGATTCAACCAAGCACCACCGTGACTGATAGTCTGAGAGACAAACGAGAGCAGCCTCAAGAATAATATAGTTCAGTTTTCAATTATTTAGAATTACTGTTTCAGGAGATATATACGTCGCTTCTCCTACTTTTCAGGGAGGAATTTGCGAGATGAATTTGAATATCTCTCTGAGCTGTAGAAATCGTGGATCCTGACCTTTTATCGCCAGTGATAATTTCCTTGTAGCGACACTTTGTCCGGCAACATATTGTCTGTTCACGAATAAAACCGTTAAAGCAACTGCTTGGGCGGTGAAGAGTAGTGGAAAGGGCTGAGCTATGATGATATTTCCTCTTTTTTTCAGGGGAATGCCTGAGATTCACGGAGAAGGAAATGACTTTCACTATCCCGGATGGCTTTCCAACGGACGGAGTCATCCACCAGTTACGGGTCTTCAAGGACTGGAATGAGACCTACAAAGTAGAGGAATTTAAGATCAAGAATCCTTCGATTCCCCCTGTGTGGATCGATCCTTCCTCTGGGGTGATCTTTGCTCGGCCGGACTTCATCCAAAGGCTCAACAGGACCAGAGGTAAGTCCCCCACTCAAAGCTATTTAGCACTTTCAATTCCAGGAAATCTCACTTTCGTGCGATTGACTCACTAACACCACTTGATGATGTGCGTAGGATGATTCCTTGAGCAGGGGGCCGTCCTTTCTTCGAAATTTCAATCCTACAAAAAAAATGAAGAATTGAGAAATCTGTATTGAGAAATCCTTGAGGATTTCTCTGAATTCCTTCCCGACGCTGTAACTAATTGAGAAATTACCGGAACACGATACAGTTCGACGAGGCGGGATTCAGATGAAGAGAAACCCGAGAATCTCCTGGATACCAGGATATTACTTCATGTCATAGTCATAGACGCCCCCACGAGCGCACCTGCATCGAAGGTATTCTATGAAATGAGCTCGCTAACCGCAAAGCATCATCTCATGAATTTTCGATGACGGCAGGCCTTCTCTCCTCTGATTACGACTCGTTGAATATATATATCTCTCATGACGATTAATATTGCATTAGACAATGAATATTTCCTGTTATCCGACCACGCACGTACACAACATGTGGCGTCTTCTGCTCTACTCTGCTGTATATTATGCTTACGCTAAACGATATTCCGACACGATGCATGAATATTTTGTACAGAGAAGTACCGATGGCCTCTTGCATGGAGTGATGAAATACCGTAGCGAATATAAGTTACTTAAGCATAAATAGCCAGGCTGTAAGCATTTGGAATTAATAGCCTATACTATGGTCAATCGCTTTATACAGGGTGGGCCATAAATATTCACACCAAATCGAAGTCATGTATTTCTTCTACTAATAACTTCTCCTTGTATGAATTGAATCTGAACAATACACAAGGACAAGTCCCACAAAATATTGTGGATTATATATTTGAAGTGTCCCAGTTCTTCTTGACGGCAACCTGGAGTCCTTGAGTCTTTCAGTTGATCGCACCGGACGGACACGGTTTCACTCCTCTTCCGGCACGAACCTTAATTGGTTCAGGTCGCCGGATTTCGTTTATGGGCACTTGCTTCCAGGAGACTTCGAATACAGTTTTCGGTTTGGTTTCGGTCAGATTTTTATGGGGGGTCATTCGTATTCCTTGATTATTTCTTCCTTGTGGTCAGCCAGACAATTTTTTGAACCTCAAGCCATTTCTAGGCGGAGAAGGATTCATATCAAAACGGCAAAAGTTGACCACTAAAGAGGACACTCTCATAGAGGTATGCAATTTTTTTCCTTTGCTGGTTTTAGGCGTACAGAAATGGAAAAGTTACAAGTGGTATGAATATTTATGGCCCACCCTGTAATGTCTCTATGCGATCTAACGGCACTCTCTTGTTTCCGATTAAGTTTCGTACCTTCTGTGTATTAGTGCGTTCGAGCGTAAAAATTTTGAAGTGTCGAAGAAGAAAAAAGGCAATCGAAGCACTTGTTTCAAAATGGTTCCCAGCAAAAAGTTCCAGCTAGAAACAGCAAGCTTTCCATCAGTAAATGTGTGCCACTTCCAGCAGGAACTGCAGCATTTCCAACCAGAACTAGTCGTAAATTGGTATGCCATTTCCAGCTGGAATGAACCAACAGGATCCAGTTGGATCCCACGTTGTATTCTGCTGGATTTCTGATTTTCCTGTAGGAAAATGCCAACCTTCTAATTCCCGATTGGAACTAGTTACGTTTCCTACATGCAATCGACCTGCCGGAAAAATCCATCACAAACTGGTTAAAACCTGTAATATTTCCAGCCTGAACTTTTTGCTGGGTTCTATCTTCCTGCTTTCCGTCGCACCTTCAAGGCTGTTCACAATGTCGTGACAATCGAGCAACTATATGAAAATTCCAAGCTAATCTTTCCCCCAAGCTGTTAGCAAGTTTAAAGCCTTTGCAAGATCGCTCAAAACACGGTTGAGCTATTTTGGAAAGGAATCGAGAGCTTTCACCGAAAATTTTGACCCGAAGTAAAATAGTTTTCTTCAGAATTACATTAAAAAGTCTCTTTAAAACAATGTACAAAGAAGTGAAGATCTAGGGCAGTGATGCACAACCCGCGACTTTTTTTGCGGCCCCTTGGATGCCTCCGGTCTCAAAAAACTCATATTTAATATTTATATGCGGCCTATTTCGGCTGTCCGAGGGCCACAGGACCTCGAACAGGAGCCGAAATATCAACTTGGCCCTTCATGGGGAAAAGGTTGTGCACCACTGATCTAGGGGTTGGGTTCCATTTATTTCCCCGAAAGGTACATTTCAAACACTCGTATCTCATTGCCCGTTTGCTGTAGAGATCTACATATTTAGCAGTATGGTATTCTTGCTGAAATCCGATGTACGCCAAATTTAATTTAATTCTGAGATGCTCGAGTCAGACCATTGTCACACTTTGGTGTAGTGATCCAGCGTGGGTAATTGCGTAACGAGGCATTGTGTGGCTCAGAAAATCGACAAAAACGTAATCCCCGTTCCAACATCTCTTCCAAAGTCGATCGTTTGTCATTGTTGGCCGCATAAACGAAGCTGCTACTTTCTGCTTCTTTGTATTAATATTTAGGTAATGGAAACGTGGGAAAACCATTCCAACCTGTTCTCTCTTGCTTACATTCCTAGCGCATTTACGAGTGATTCTTTTAAGTTCAGGCACTTCATGAAGAAGTTTTACATTGACTGCTCACTTACGAGTACTTTGAAGGAAATAAGCAGTAGGCACGCAAATTCCTGATGCATTTATTCGTCCCTACTTACATCTACGCTAAAATGTGATTTTGCGCTAAAGCTAATTCAACCACTTTGCCTATTTCCACCTTGCAATGCGATAGGTTGCCACGTGCAACATGCACCATCACTTGAGAATCCCATCTCGTTTCCATCTTAGCCTCACACCCCATAGAGCGAGGTGTTTCAGTAATTTTCCTTTCGCATCCTGAACGGTTCCCACAGGGATGATTCCTATCACGCTTCCAGTTTTTAACGGTCTTTTGTTTACATTCCCTTCCTGTTCCCTCCTTCCACCGTTGATTCTAGTCCCACATCGCTTCCACTAATAGAATGAGACCGAAAACGCAAGAATAACAAAGAAAGAATGAAACTACATATATTTGGCAGGGATGATAAATTGTCGCAATACCGACTGTTCCAGAAGTAAATTGAGAGAAAGGGAGGGAGAAAAAAATGTAGAATTTGTTTCTTACGCTCGTTCTCGGAGTTCCCGTTTCATTCACATCCATCTCCTCTCCTATGGGATCGTTTCCCATCCTTGCCGATGCCGAACTCTCCAGACAACGTCAGTTCGGCTCCCGCGGCCGTCCCGTGGGTCCCGGGTCTCAGTAGTGACTTCAGGATGACGGCTCTAAAAGAGAGGAAAGGCGATTAAATGCTCGTAAAACCGCCTGGGACGTCGAATAATTTCGACAGTGGTGGAAGAAACATTTCGAAGAGGGATACAGTTGTGGTATATTCGGATCATGAAATTTCCTCATGCAGTACTTCAGATGCTTAAAGCGTCTTTTCCATCTTCGGAATACCTTTTATACTTTATCCATTTGACACAAGCAATTATATTCAGATTCCTGAAGAATTTTCAGTTTCTTCATATAATGGAAAATAACTGCAGGGAATCATTGCAAGCAAGAATTGAGGACGTAATTATTGAGGAATGCTCGTGCAATATCGCACTCAGAAATGAATGGAAAGGATATTGCGCCACATGTCGAATGAGGAGTGGGTATGTATGCTTCCAAAGAAATATCGTGACCGGCTGGCCACCGCGACCACACTCGACCCGCTTGAGAACCCTGACCTGTCATTCCATCTCCTCCGCAAGGATCCAGAACCGCGGAAATATGCTCCATAATCGCAGGAGTTCTTCATGGCCGAATTTCCGATTCCCAGTGTTGCTGAATTTTGATGTCGCCACGAGCACTGAGGATTGGACAGTCGGGAGTTCAGAGAATTCCGTGCGAAGTGGAAATTCGTCGCATGAAATAACACAAGTGGATGTGCGTGACATGCAGGATTTCAAGCAGTTGGGAAGTTGGTAACAGCAGCCCATATCCACGTCGAATAACATCGGAAGGTTGAAGCCCATCACTAGCAACAGCTTCTTCGCCCTTAAACGGCAGCTGACTGACCTGATGAAATCCAGTCGCTTGATGATGCCAGATGCGTACTTTGAATATGCACTACCTAGGAATTGTTTCTTTGCATCCTCTTACAGAAGGGTATTTTTTTGGTTGTCGGAATCAGCTTGTCAAATTTTCAAGTTGACGGTTGTAATTTTAGGACATCTGCACGAGTGAAGAAGGATCAGGACTTTAGAATTGATCTCTCAGGTGCCTATGGAAAGACTGCTGCGCTGGTTTTCCGTTATTGCACCTCTGAGCCTTTCCCCCCGCGAAGTCGGAGGAAATACTGCTTCTTCGTCGTTGTATTCTTGCAAAACGGAGTCAGCAAATGCATGTGCCCTCGGATCAGTGGGTGCAATGCTGAATATATCCACGAATCCATCTCCAACTTCTGAGGGATCCTGGAATGGCTGGCTAAAGAAATAGGAAAACCACTTTCCCACTTCGGACTCCTTTTCCGTGTATTCCTTCATTAGTCCCAGCGATTGGATTTTTCTCCATCAAGCATGTCCAAGACGAAATCTGCATGCTTTGATTGAAGCATCTAGAAACATATTCATAATTGCATGAGCACTATTTTCTTGATCAAGGAGCACAGAATTAGGCTGAAGAAGAAAACCAAAACTCTGATACAACTGCAACAAACTCCCCCACATATATTCTTAGCGTTTCGTCGATTTAGAAGGCAGTACACAGACGATTGATAGAATGTATATATCTCTCTTGTAGCCATAAACGACATAGTCTTGGCAGAAGTGCTTTTGACATACGTCAAAAGTTCCATCTGCATATATGCCTCTCTCCTCTCCACACAGAAATTGGACTGACAGGTGAAAATTCCTCGACCAGCATCACCATTTTTGAAAACGATTTCCTGCTTGCTCGTGGCAAGTCCAGGTTTTTTTCCGGAGCATCTAGTGGCTCGGGTTGCTTTCGGCACGGACGGGAGAGTCTTCTGACGTTTGTGATAAATATAACGCCGTATGCAACTCAAATTCTTGGCCAGACAGCTTCCTTTGTCCATTCCTTCCTTCGGCTCCTGTCGCATTACTTTGCTCGAACGACATGTTAGGTCCTCGGTTGCTCTTCTTTTGCATGTCACGCGAAGTCTCTGATGTTCTACTTCATACGAGTCCAAGACTGGATAATTGTGAATTTTGCCTTCAAAGCCGTCTATGGTTTCAGTTTCTTCAAAACTTATTTTGACCTTTCCTTTGCAATCCTTGATACTTGAGCATCGTGAAAGTGTACTTTCTTGCCTGCACACTGTAGGCTCTTCTGTACATGATATATGATGCATTCCCCACCTTTCTTTCGTTTCGTTGGAAATGCCAGCTTGCTCTCCCTTGGAGAATAACAAGACTACCAACGTAACGCACATTTCGCCTCGACAAGGTCGATTGGGATTCACATACCCTGCCATTCCCCCTGTGGATATGGCATAATTGCTTCTTCGGTTCAGACCCATGGATTAACAGATATCTCGTAAGATATACGAGGGCGTTTCAAGTGAAACCCGGAGAAATGTGTTTTTATAAAAGAATTTTAGTTCAATGTGCAATAATATTAATATTATTTTTTTTTACGGTTAAAATTTATGAGCTGGCACCCCTAATTACACTCGTCGTTTGTTTTGACACCGTAGTGACTTGAGCAGAGGCAGTAGAAAATAAAGGAACGACTTGACAACTGCACTAAGGTGGAAATGAGAGGTGTGATAAGGTTTTTCTTACCGCAATAGTGAAACTCTCCTATATATTTGTAGTTTTGAATTGTAGCGAACTCTTTTGCTTCATCTGAGAAAGTCCCATTTTGTCGAACCTGGTTTTTTCCCCCTTCTTCCCCTGTCAGTTCCCTTCTCTGACCTCATCCATCAAGTCCTTTTTATTCTTCACAGCAAGTGCGTTTTTGAAGAGAATGACTTTGACATCTCCTAAGAAACTCTATCGGGGCTCGGCCTCCACCGTCTTTTAAAGTCCCATACATAGAGATGAGGATGCTTCGTACTCAGAGGTCTCCCTACCTATCACTCTGCCGTTGGAAAAAACGGTCCAACTCGGTCGGTTTCGAGGCCAGCTCCGCCGTCATGAGAGATACTTACCGGGCCACAAACCTTATATGATAATGAATCGGTCGTAGCTCCCTATGTGTTTTAGTCGCAGCGCTGAGAAATGAGACGAGGAGCTTCCTATCGGTATCCGTTTCGCTCGGATCCTCGGATCAACGGGAGGGGAGTTTCCGGACTAACACAAAGAGCAATATGATGTAGACACCTCATTTAAAGGGTATCTGAGGCAGAGGCGACTCGTGTTATGCAGCACCCAAGTGTGGTAATGCTAAAAAATAAATTGGTTTAAACAATCTATCACATTCCCTTATATCTCAGGGCAGAAACTCTTGGATCACCCCTCGTATGTCAATGCTGACCATTCTCTCTCCATTCTGTACACCCCTCGTTGGCGTACCTTCAATACCAACCGATATCAAGAGCTATTAAGAGCCGAGGAGAGCAAGTGGATCTGGGCTGGGTACCTAGCACGAACGGATTACTGACGATATGGTACGCAGGGTATGGTGGTAAAGAAGAGTAATTTGGTAGGGAGACCCCCACTTCTAACCATCATGTCTGCTCTTTCCGAAGCTGTCTTAACGAAACTTCCAATGTGTGAAACTTGAGTGTGATGGCATGTTCTCAAATTTATTTGAAATTTCATGATAATTTGTTCTGCTAAAGCAAGCCTATGGACGATCATTTAAAAAGAAGCGAAATTGAAAATGGACGGGTTACTCAAGTCCATGCAGAGCGACGAAATTACATCTGTTTCCTCCTCCAACGAAAATAAGAATAATCTGAAAAAACTTTGAAAAAACTCTCAGTATTGATACATATTGAGTCATCAGTTATTGATTAGAAGAAAGTCCATCAGTGACCAATGGCCAGTTCATAGAGTGAATTTAAGTAAAGTTATGTTAGATTCGGTCTGATTAAAATGCAAACCAGAAAGCGAAGGTTTCCATTATAATTCTTGCATGAGCGCCTGTTCGCCCTCAATGTTCAACTTCTATTGCATTATTAATTTTAGCCTTGCCTCGGCACCACGAATTTCAAAGAAAATTTCACGATTCTCTAGGAAATATACCAATGCATGTACAGGGCAAGTTCCATGCAGTGTTAACGCGCGGATTCATTTTGCTGAATTTGCTTTTTTTGTTTTATACGTCAGTTACTGAGTGGCAACTGAGAATGGGAATACTTTCAAAATTGACATGGAAGAAAGAAAGTTTTGAAGAGATTAAATCGACTGGAGTGGCTCAGGATGAGATGAAGGGAAACCTTCGTCCAGCATTGGAAAAAAAAGTGGCTGATGATGATGACATTGATAATCAAGATCCATTAGGGAACAAGTTCTCAGGCTTTACTTTCATTGCTGAGGCCTAATATAGTACTATATCATCTAATGAGCTATCACTACATCATTTTCCGAATAGAAAATAAACTTTACTTTTAAGACTTAAGCTATTAATAGTATCTCATGTACACGTAGCCTGCAACTCGTGAAAGCAGGCCTCTTAATTTAGACACAAAATCCAATATTCATAATCATATTAGCGTTACGAAAATCATGCGATAACCCATTCCCGAATTCTACAAAGACAAAATCGCCGGCGGTACTCTTGATGACCCTCCACGGACGTGATAAGGGACGATGAAGTGATGCAAAATGACCTTGAAGTACTGATGTTGCAGATGGGAAGCAAGTGGAAGTGGAAGCTTGTATAAACAGGACGTGCGACAGCATGAAGCTCCACTTCGTTGCAGCTGGGGTCCCTGCCGATTGCAGCAACGGATCTATCAATGAGGTAAGCATACTTTTATTTCATGAAATGCCTCCAAGCGTTAGGCGGAAGTCGTTTTGCTTCGAACTCAAGGGAAGGAGGAAAGGAGAAGGAAAAGAAGAGACCAAGTGCCAGAAGCCAGAAAAGCTAAAGGCTCTTAGTGAACAGCTCTTAGGCTAAAAGTTCCCCTCGAGCGCTCCTCTGCCTGACACATTCCCAAAGGAAAGTAGTAACGTACAAGGAGAGGTACAAATGTCAGTTGGGTCGTCATCTGTACCGACGTCTGTTCTTTGTACTCTTACGCATGTACACCAGACATTGGCATTGCTACGTTACAGATGCAGGTACTTCTGGCGTACGCATGAGGTATCTTGTGGTAGCCCATGCATACCGCCACTTGGTTAACACTTCTGCTCCATTCTGGGTATTGCTGCATCTTTCATTAAACAAATGCCCTTCGGAGTGATTAAAAGTGTAACCCTTTGAACTTTCGTGGCCACGGTTTTTCTCGTGACGTAGTTCATTTATTTCGGTACAGATGACAGCACTTGACCTATTGACATAATAACCACATATGTAGGAAACATAATTTGTTGTTGACATATGGCAAAAATTTCACAGCCCTAGCACAATCTCCCATTTTATAACAACAACTTACTGAGAGGTTGCAGAAAGGGAGAAAACTGGCTTGCGTCCAAAGTGTGAAATCAATCCTCAGTGCAAATTTCCTTCCAAATCAGGCTTTCTTTAACAGTTACTTGAAACTTCTCATCTTCAAGGAATGCTGAAATTGTCAGGGAACAGATTTAGCGAGATGGGATAATTGACTTGGTTTCAGGTACCGTGATATTCAACGGGTTCTAGTATCGCAATTTTCTGATGAAGCTCCTTTCCGGAAATACAAATCTACATGAGGCATTTAACACGAATACAGCAGTCCGGTCCCGAATCGCAATATGGACCAATTCTTTGCAGGACGTGTGCTTCCACGAAGAGCATGCCTTCCAAGTGAAGGAGAACTTGAAAGGAGTGGTCTTGGGTGATCTTAGGCCGAAGGTCATGCAGACTCTCTGTCCTGACCTCAACATCTCCTATTACATCGTATCAGGTCTAGTCCTTTCCCCTTTTCATTTTCAATTTTAAGCATTAAAATTTCACTTATACAAAATAAAAAAGAGAGGATCACTATAGAAAGACGCGACCATTCGCATTTTTAGCAATCATGCAAAGACCACAAAGACCTAGAGCTCCAAATATTGCAGATTCAATTCATAGTAGTGAATAAAATATGTATAAGTACAAGTAAGAGCTAAAAGTGAAAATTTAGCGAGTTGTTGGATATATCCCAGGTAACACATCCATGTGGAAACAACATTGAAACAATGTTTCATGGCAACATTTATAATGCCACATTGATTCAATGTGAAGATGTCATTTTTGTCAACATTGTTTCAACATTCCTTGTTAATGTTGAAACAATATTGATGGTAACATTTATTCAACATTCCTCATTGAGTCCCTCGTGATTGGGTTCCTCCATGGATAAAGTAGAGGTAAATTCATCAAAATGAATCTCATGACCTGTGGATGATGAACTACATATACAAAAGAGGATAAACCCTCTTCAGTATCTATAGGTCAGTACCTACAGAGTACTGAGAAGTTTGAGAGGATGGGTCCTCTTCAGTTCTGCAAACAGCACCAGAGCCTTGCATGCCTAACTGGCTGGTTTGCAAAACGAGGATAAATTCCCTTAGCTCCTCTCTTAGAAGATTTGTGAATGGATCACTTCAGGTTATTTTGAGTGTGCTCTACACGTCTCCAATCACATAGACTTCTATGCGCTCACACTAAACCTGGACATTTAATTTGTTTCAGAATCAGATTCTGCAACCAGAACATAATAATTCCACATTTCTCTAATATATGCGTTCATTAATTACGTAATAATAAGAGGAAAGTGGGAAGAAAACACTTTAATGGAAGGTGACAGATCCGTAATTGCATTAGGAGGCTACAGGGAAACATGGATACCATCTAGTGAGCTCTCTTGGTACTTCATTATGAATGCGCCTAGACTACACTACCCTAGTAACATAACGTCCATAAGAGGATGCTAGACGTCTCCACAATGACCGTAGGATAATTGGAAATGGTTTATGTATTTGTTTCCGAATTGGAAAAAATATCATTCTTCAAGTACTTTATAATAAATGGCATGCAACTCAATAGTTGTAGAGTCTCATTTTCTCCACATTGAAACCATGTTGTGGTAGGTTGATAGTACTCCGAAAACCTATTGGAGAGATCCCACCCTTTATCATTTTAAGAGGGGTTAACAATTGTGCTACATCTAATAAATATAATCCGAATATTCCCAATTGGAATTCACAATGTGATGCGACGACATTGTATCAACATTGAAACAATGTCCACCTTCAACCTTCAACATTCGCACACTCAATCCACATCCAATCCACATCCAATCCATGTTGATTCAATGTTCTGTGTTACCTGGGATACAATGCCTACCACTTCAGTTCGACGAGTTTCGCCTGAATCTGACAGGTTTTCATCTCATCATGGATGTTGGGATCAACAAAAAATCCATTTGTGTCTGACGTGCTCAAGACAGATTTAAAATTACCGAACTCCATTTAAAAACAAGTTTTGGTGGAAGGAAACTGCCAGACGTACGTGTTAGTCTCCGCTGCAATTGCCATGCGACATGCTTGGGGAGAAGGAGAAGTCCACGATTGTAAAGAGCTGGGATGTAGATACAGTGAAACAACCCGTAAGCTTCCTCAATTTGTCACAATTTTTATCTCCAATTAATGTACACTTTCCGGAAAGAAAAAACAAATGAAAGCCTCTCTCTCTGAGGGAAAGACCACTGTTGAAAGAGTGCTCCTCCCTTTCCTTTCGAAATTATGAATTTTAAAACAATTATATTTTGCTAGGGAAAACACCAAAACAAAACCCTTACGATGTAAATTCTTTTTTTTGTGGGGGGGGGGGTGTCTTGCTACCTTTTTCTGTCTCATAGTATTACACAGGGGGGGGGGAGTGTTAAATTGGGAAGGATGAAGAAAGTTCCGATTTTTTAAATACTTTGTTTCCCCTCCTTCTTCCTTGGCCGCGTCCGAACTATAGTACAATGCTTGGTTTCACCCTTTCGATGTGAGAATATCTTAAAGGCAAATCCAAACAATTTATTAAACTGAGTCATCTGTGATGAGTTTTGGCATGGGTTATGTGTGTAGCATGGGAGAGGACGAAGGAACACCATAGAATGGCCTAGAATCGAATTCGGGCCCTCTGATTGGCGGTCAATTTTGCAATTACAGAACCAAAGAGCCACCGAACCTAAGCTCCTCTCTATGTCCTCCTTATTCATACACCACATAGCCTTGCTACTTTGTGCTATTACACTGGTATTTTTTTTTTGCTATCGGTAGGATCTGACCCATCAGTAAAATAGAAACTTTGGGAGAGTTCGTAACTCCAGAAATTCTTAAAGACTACGAAAAGTTATGCGTAAAATTTTTGGCGCAGACTTAGCTTTTAGACCGAGTATGGGCAAATAAGCAATTCTGTAAACATAAATAAATAAATGTCAAGTGGCGCAGTAAATGCTACTGCGAATATAGAAAGTTCATTTGGCAGAAGCAGAAGAACTTGAAGTCTCATTTGTGAGTTTCATCTCGTGTCAGGTCATATCTGCTCTCCCAAAGACAAGCATGGAGTGCGAGACACCCTCTCTCAAGTTCTCTCGTGAATAATTGCAATCTGAATCTTCCGAGCGAGCAACGCATCGCTTGGCCCTTCGACTGCTCCTTTCCACTGCCTGCAATTCAGAGAAAGAGAGGGATAGATTTTCCGAACAGTATTTCTGCGAAGAACGGTTCTTCCAGTAGTTGCTCTATCTTTCAATCTTGAACGCGGACACTCGATCGCGGACGAAGTCCTTGGTTCAGATTCAGAGGATTCATTCCTGCCTCATTTCAGGAGTATCTTGGGAAAATTTTTCAGAAGAGCGTTGGATATGGGAGAAGAACTCACCTTAGACATTGATATTTATTATTTAGATAAGACTAAACATTTTTTTCTGCTGGATTTAGGATAGTTTCGCCCTTGAGCCAAGTTTATGAATGGACTCCAGGGCTTGGGAGCAGGAAAGAATCCATTCCAAGGAACCATAGCGGGAACGAGGCACAAGTATGGCAATGTTGAAATGCTTTCAAAGCGCAAACATAGAAAATGAATGCTTCCAATGTTTCTCTCGTTGCATCGGTCACCAAATGGGATTTCGTCTTCTCACATCTGAGGATAGTTTTTGTCGGTTAAAGGTTTCCTCATTCCCGTATTCACTTATCCTTACCGCTTACTTCGTAGTTGCTATTATAGTCATATTCCGCCGACACCAATACGTGCAGTCCTAAACGAGAGTGTGGGACGAGCCACTAATGGATGACTAACGACAGCGGAAAGATCGTGAATATTTCATGTTCCGATTGAGACCACTCGTAATTGGAAGCCCGTGACATTCTCTTTCAACTCACGCTATTAGAATTTGGAACGAAACGTCTATTGTCACATTATGCTGGAAAAGATTGGAAAGGAATTGAGGCTTCAGGCAGCATGCCGATGGTGGTAAAAAGAAATAAAAAGAAAGCAGAGTCGTGTCGTCCTCTCACTTCGTGCGTTTTCAGTGCCTCTAATAAAACTAAAAGATATTCTTCTTTTCTTTCTATAAAAATTACGCTGTAATTTCTTTGCCCGGGAATTCTAGTGGAACCTAAACGGTGAGTGGATTCCAAGAATTGAATTAAATGGTTTGGCCGTCGAATGATTTCCTCGAACCATCATCAACACCATCGTGCTTCAGGATGGGCGACGGCAATGCGAAATGCAGACGCTGCGAATGGCCTTGATCGGAAAGAAATTCGCTTTGTTTTTAAGGGGGGAAAAGGGAGAGTCCAGAAAAGAAGCCTTAACCCCAGGTGAAGCGAGGCTCATGAAATGCGTAGAAGGGGACGAGGAGTGACGACATCGCATCCTGGTCCATCGGTAGTCTTTCTCATGACGATATTGAGGCAGGCAATCGACGTAACCATTTAGTATGCTCTAATAACCTTTATTAAAAGCCTTTTATGGCCGACGTTTACGCAGGTGATGAAGAAGATTGCCGGAAACGTCAGGGCAAGATGTCCCCTTGCGTCGATCGACGTCACGGATATCATTAGGTGGATCTCGAAGAGAAAAATAAGCGTTCCCGGCCTCGACCCAATCGGTACACTAAGTCAAGAGTCAAAGGTCAAAATGTGTATCAACATGAGGGCTTTTAATTGAGAGTTCTCGATCTCGTGCTCTTATTGCGTCGAAGCCACGTGCATCTTCAGTCCCTTTCGAGATTCGTCGACACGTGACGTCGGTGGACGCGAGAGGGCGCCTTTGGGCATTCTCTCTCGACGCGTTTTTAGTTGGTCTTTCGTTTTCTTCGATCGAGACTGGCTTTTCTTTTAGACGTGGTCGTGACTGTGGGCCCAAATGACCATGCTTTATGCAGATATATTTTAATTGAAGACGGCTTTTCGGTATGGAGTACGGCATGGAGATAGGATCATTAATGCCCACTCTTCTCAGAATTGAATGCAAATTGTGGCAGCAGGGTAAATAGAGGTTCAAACGAAAATCGATTCTCAGAAATGGTAAAATGAGCTCCTGAATCTCTCATGCTTTGTGAATCTACAGGATGATCATAAATAAATTATTCCCCTTCAGAACACTCTAGTGGCTAAGCTATAAGAAGTAGGATGGCGTCATCGCACAGGCATGACAAGTGTCACGCGACGAATCGAATGCAGCACTCATTGAGTCTTATCACAGAGGAGCCACCATGACATAATTTGCATAATATCCAGAAATGCCGAAGGAAAATTCGTATAAATACATTAATGATATCGCTAAACAGATCGATATCATGCATCATTAAGGTGATGAATGCAGAGCGGGCAGACACTGGAGCTTTCCTGCACAAATACCCTGTAGAATCCCTCCTAGGCAGATTATGCTATAATGACGCGTTGTGCGGCAAGATTTGATCGGTAGGTGCTGCACGTATAGAATGGTTGCAACCCCAATAGTTAAGATTTAGAAAGCGCTGGAGTTGATTCACGATGTGCCACTTGACACGCGTATGCGATGGTATCATCCTGCTTCTCATAGTTTAGGATCTATAGCGCTCTGAAGTGGGGTACTCTCTTTATAATCAAATATGAAGTAATGCGAAAACCAATTTTCAATGGCCTTCGCTTTCTTCAAACCCCGCCTCTCTACGGGACTCACTAACATTAAGCATAGGCCTAACCAACAGATTGTCTTCAGGTCACGCCAAGGCCTACCTTTTTCTTTTCAAAAGAAACTCAGTTCTCGACTTACGGCGCCAATTAGGCCTATAAGGGTGAATCGTGGTCTTCGAGACATCTGGTTGAGGACGTGTAACGTTAGGCCAATCGCAAGCCTATTCATACGTTCACGAACCATTTCAGAAAGGACGTGTAACATTAGACCGATTGGATGCCTGTTTCGAGTTTCATGAACCATTTCAATGGGACGTGGAACGTTAGGCCTATCTGGAGTTCCTAGAACCGTCTCGAATAGGCCTGAGGAGATAATGCCTTGAAGAAGCATGCAATCTTTGGTACGCGCCATCCTGTTAATTCAGGGATGCCCGGATAACATATCTGCATATCCCACCACATCGATCAATAACTGCTAACCACCGCTTCATTCTCAGCTCAACTCATGAACTCAGCACAAAAATGTCTCATACATTAAAAAACAGAAGATCCAGACGCCAATACGAAGGTTGAAACAGTCTTGAATCTGATATGATTTCCACACGGTACAATTTTATGGGGAACTGGAGCATCGCAAACAACAAAAAGTCACTTTTCAACGAGTCAATATCTTTCATATGGTTGGTCTTTTTCCTCCGAAAACCCCCCAGGAGTGGCTACCCAGGGGGGGGGGGGGAACGTAATGAAATTCACATCTTCCAAAAACGAAATTCAGTGTTCTCCACAACCCCGGGGAGATGGAACTTCAAATTTGCTGGAGCGATTCTGCGGTGAGAGAGAAAGAAGTATGCCAAATTTCGTTCCTGTTGATGCTCTCAGAGGACACGAGGAGGTTGAATTTTGCTGCGGGAAGGGGTTGAAGAAAGGTAATAGGCGCTACCGCGCCTTTTGATGCGGCTTATCGTTGGCGATTAGCACGCCACAAATTTTGCCTTATTTGGAGGAATGGTGCTGATATCTATTCTGTCCAGAATATAGAATGTAACCAATTGGAGAATCAAATGTGCTACATTTTTCAAGGCACACTCCTTCACAAACAGTAAAACAGACAGGGATATGTAAACTGTTAACTCCATGTGAAATGTGATTCGAAAAGTTTACATTTTTGCGTGATTTCAGGAACTTAACAGTGCCCGCCCCTGAGGATGAGGAAACGGTGCTACTGGGGTGGGGGAGGGTCCAACATTGACTTCCAACGTCGGGGCCGAATCGCAGATGTGGAACTTAAACATAGGCCAAACGTTGGGTCCGAGGCAACGGACGAAGAATTTCAGCGATAATTAAAGAACTCAATCAAATCAAGTAGTCAAATTTTATTTCACCAGGGTTCGGCAGGGTTACAGATAAAAGCGGAATGGAGGAAAAGGAAAAATAAATGAAAATAAGAACAATAATGAAGATTAAAAAAAGTAAAATAGAAAGCTCTTCTGAGTCGTCTCATGGGAGCCAGTTCCATTATTGAGAACAAACACAACGATTTGATTACAGAAAAGAAAGGAAAAGCCATGGGAAACCGTAAAGAAGGAATTCAACAGTGACGAAAGTGGCCCGAAAGCAGAGCGTGATTTTGTTTCATCGTGGCTCTGTCTCGAGACTTGGGTCAATCAGATCGAGGAGATCATTAAAAAGAAAGCCGACGTGCTCATGCGAAATTTATTTTGGAACTAATTGTCACTCATTTTATATTTTCATCCAGAACCCAGATCCATGAAGTTCGAGGTGTTTGCATCTCGTCAAGGTTGTTGATCGATTGCACGTCATCCATCACGAACGACTGCAACTGAGGTTACGCTTAATCGGCGTAAAGTTGCGGATCCGTTGCCAGGTTCCACAAAATCAGCCGAAATAATGAAATTGCCGATCAGCTACTGCTAGCAAGTTCTGCGACCAGTTCAATGTCAGGACTCTGTTAAACTACCTGCCGAATCACTGGGAATCACATGAAGAGAATATCCGAATTTGTAATTTTAAAAAATACTGAGTTCTCGTCCGAGTCCTTATTTTTCCCATTCCTTACCTGATATCTCGTTTCACGATCACGACGATTTCAATGTCGTTGGTAAGCTCTCCTTATCTCGTTTGATTCAATAAACAATACGTGAGGACTCCTGCGGGAGCCATGGTGATGACATGACGATTAAGGGAGGATTCAAGGGTTCGTCCCACCCACCGCTTCTCCACCCCTCACCCCGATATATTTATTGTTGCAATTTGAAACCTAAGATCATAATTTTCGTTAAAAATATAGCTCTCTTACAGGGATGGGGGGGGGGGGGAGTTGATGGACTCGCCTCCAATATGAGACATGAGACTGACTTTCATATTCTTTTCCCGGTTTCCCCTGATTCTCCATCCCTCCCAGATCGCGTGAGAAGCATCAATGAGGGCTGAGTTAGGCTGAATGAAGAGCATTCCAATCATATTGGCCTGGAGGGGGAAGGGGGGTCGCAAGAGATGCTGGAATTATTTGGGGAGGGGGGGGGGGAGTTACAAGTGCAGACCCAAATCCTGGAGAGGAAAGCGTGTTGGGGAGTCGCGAAAGTATCTGCCCGACACGCTTGCACGCTTTTCACGGAACTCTAGCGGTGGCGTGTCCAAGGGGGAAGGGGGGGGGTTGGGGGGGTCATAACCCTCCCCTTGGGATACATCTTACAGGTTGGATTCTCAAATATTTTTTAATTTGGCCATTAATGCAGGGGTAAGCTATCAATTTTCATGTCCCCCCCCAATTGAGATTTACTGGGCACGCTACTGAACGCCTTATTTTTGGTGTCGAGGGAATGGGCATTGGATGACTTGAAACGTGTAAGCAGGAGAGAAAAAAAGGGCAGGATTTTAATAGAAAAGATGTTCTGAACAATTCAAGATTGGGGTGTGAAAGAACTTACGTGGATTCCTTCGCAAATCACATCCGTATCCATTGGAGACTGCATGCATTCATGTGTCTCACTTCTTGTCGGACTTAAAGGACGAATGCTATGCGCAGCACGAACCCGCCGTCCCCACCCCCCCCTGTTTCCCCCATCTCATCTCGTCTTCCTTATAATATATTTGGCCCCATGCTATTTCTTCGCCCCCTTCTTTGTTATGTTACGTAGCGTTTTAATGCACTATTCCAAAAAAAACTGAGCGTTCTCGCCTCGCTTGATTGGATCCTCCTTTCCTCGTTCGTCGCTCGAAATTCTGGGCACCGATCACGACGAATTGCTTACGGTTGGGAGGTTTCTCAGTTCCCCTTCATTTAGGATACATGACGACTCGTGTAGAATTTTCAATAGGGCGATCGAGGAAAGATAGAAGGAATCGTCCCGTCTGCTACTTCTTCATCCTTCAGGGTTTTTTTTGGAATAATGTAATGATGAAAAGTTTTTCATCACTCAGAACCTGATACCAAACGTTTGGCACCAGGATTGAAGATCATCGTTCCTTCCTTGCAATCCTACCTTTGAAGAAGAATCACAATCTAAAAATCAGACGAAAGAATCGGAGTCATCCCAACAGGATTTCAACCTCGCTGATCTCCCAAATGGAATGACCCAGAAAGACCTATTCGCAAGTTATAAAGACAAACTGGACTGATTGACAGAATCGACCTCCTGATGTCGATTCTGTCAATTTTTATTTATTTATTATTTATTATAAATTCTTTAATGCGGGTGGGAAGCGGAGTTCGGGTAGAGGACTGGCAAAAAGTATTTGCCCTGGCGCGTCTACATTTGAGATAACCTCGTGTCACATAAACAGACATTTTGTAGATGACGCGTCAGCCATAAAATGCCTTCACTGGGTCTCAAACATATTCATAAAGGTACTTAATTCATACTCATTGAACCTTTCACTATAATGACTACATTTTTCCTATTACAACTTAATTATTTTTCCTTCGCTTTTGTTTCATGAACAATCTCACAAACAAGAGATTTCATTTTTAAATACAAGGTATTCTGCCATAAAAGGGGAATTAGAGAGAGAGAGAGAGAGGTCTCCATGCCTTCAGGAAAAACTCCCTCTCTTTTTTATTTTTATATATTTCCTATTTCTACCTGAAAGGCGATCTAATTTAATATGATGGCATTGATGAAGAAAATAAAGATTGAGGTGTAGGTGTACATGCCTTTGAAACGCAGTTGCAATGATGTGTTCCAGAGCCTAACTGGGGAGTTCGGGTGAGTTGGGATGGTAAGTTGGAGACGACTTTCGAACTGGATCGGGAGGACCTGGTCAAGGCGAACGAGAACCAGACTTTCGTCCTGCAAGTCCGATGCTTTGTTCAGAATGATGTCCCTGGCATGGAACCTTACACCTTCAAGCACGAGATCCAGGTGGAAGTCCTGGACGAAGATGACAATCCCCCCGAACTGCTCATCTCGGATCTTCGTCCCATCGACCTTTCATGCCACTCCCTTAAAGAGGTACTGAGTTTGATTACGCTGAATTAGGATAGGGTTGATCAGCTTACACGTGGGTACAAGTCAGGTCTGCTTGCACACTGTTCCTTCCAACAAAAACAAGTATTCTATTCTTCCATCATTCCATAATTTCTCCTTTCCGTGACATTGACCCACTGAATTTTTCATCAGGATGCGCTAAAATGAGAGAGAGGGAGAAGTGAGGCCGAAAGTACTTACAGTGGGTCGCATGTGAGAACTTTGCTACACTGCAAATTGAACTTGATTTACGACTAGAAGTTGGACTTTCTTCAACTTTCGCTTCAAAAATCCGATTGCATTTTAGTTTGATTTGACTTTTCCGACTACATTGAAGTGTATATTTCTAGCAAACTTCATACCATTAAAAAAATCCCAGCTATATTTTTGAGTTCGCACTGATATCACACCAAGTCTTTATTTTAGTTTAAAATCATATATACCAGGGGTGACCAAACTTGCTGACCTTATAAGCGGCATAACAAAATCTTATGGCCGAGAGCCACGAGACGAACACCCAGCACACACCACTTTATATACGCATTCTCTAGACTCTAGAGCAGTGGTGTCGTCAGCTTGCCGCCCGCGGAAACCCAGCTATCTCATGGCTTCTCTCAGTGTGCAAATTTGCATATTCCAATTGCAGTAATTTTCTCGATTTCTGGTGCTAGGGATGAAACTGCAACGGGTAGACAGCTCTCCAAGAATGTTTGCTTTTGCGATTATCGGTGTTGATTGCATTCATCGTCGAAAAACTCGCTTCACCAATGTATTAATAGGTAGAACCAAACATAGAGAACACAAGTTTCGACAGCTGACAGATTCGCGTAGCTCTCTCGACTGGCGTAGGTGGTCCAGAACGCCTCGACACTTGCTTTTTGAATTCGGTCCTCAGTACTGCTGATTCTTAGAGATCTACTAGCTCCAGTCGCAGTGCCGCTTCATCGATTGATGGAAGTACTTGCTTCGCAAAATATGGAAAATCGCCTTGGGGGGGGGGGGGCTATTGAAAATGGATTACGAGCAAAACCGTTGATATCCTTAGAGATGCTGAAGTTGCTGAGCCGGGAAATGACATTTTTATTTCAGCCTCATAATGGAGTCTGTCATGAGGTTAGTAACTGCGCAATCTCGTCCAGTTCTTCTCGATGGCTGTGCAGTCGGTTGAAGGGCAGAAGTTTTCCGGATTTGAGGTCAGCGAGGAAGATGCTCAGTTTCTTCTCAAAGGCTTCCAACTTCTCGATCAGGTCGCTGATGGTTTTATCGCGGCCTTGTAGATGGAGATTGAGAGTATTCAAGTGGCCGATGTCACTCAGGAATGCCACCTTCGCCATGAAGGCGTCGTCTTCCAGGAAGGAAAGATACTCGGTCGACTTTTTGTGAGAGCTCTGCCGCAGAGAATGCATATGTGGACTCTAGAGTCTAGAGCATTTCACCTGGAGCCGCAATTTGGCCACCCCTGATATATACAATACTCGTAGAAATTGTATTTATTACAAATGTAATTCCAGTAGTATGTAGCAAATTCCAGTGACTTCCAGTCACTTGAATTACCTGCAAAGTGCCTCCCCTCGTTATTAACCTGTTCTAAGAAGTGACTCCTTCATGAACTTGATGGTGAACATTTTTCGAAAGGTACATGATGCAGAAGCAGCGACTATCAGACCTCTTTTTGTAAAGTGTTTAACACTCTGAGTCCCATGCCCAAACATATACGTTATCGATGAGAAGCAAAACCCATCCAGATGCATATACGTTCACACATACACACGCACATTACTGTTCGCTTTACAAGAAAAAAAAAGTTCATAACAATAAACTGCAAGTATTATTGAAATTTAAAAAAATACAGAAGTAACTAATATACTGAACACAGTATAGTTGTCATCTAAATACCTGGAATGCAATGTGTTAAAGAACCATATTCTAGTGAGCTGGGTTAGTCGATTTCGGAGGTTCACCTACTTGCAGAACTAACCTTTTACGTATACTAATGGGAACTTTAGAGTCAACGCTGATGACCATTTGGAAATGATCCAAAGCTGTTGTCCCAATTAGTTGCTAGGGTTTCGTGGGTCTTAATGAAATGCATCAGACTACTTATCTTCCAAACTGCATCACAAATAACTAGGATGCATTGTGGATACAACGTAATTAGAGTATTTCCCGGAATCGTGACAGCAATGCAGGAAACCAACATTCTACAGAGGATAATTCAGAATTATTCTGAAATCAAACTACGTGGTACTTGAACAACTAATATTAGTTATGACGTGAACCCGTCTTCGCAGTCCTTGTCACTCAGAAGCTCCTGTTCAGCTAATGTTTTTGGTGGAGAATGAGAATGGTTGAGAAACGAAAGAAGTGGAACGGTAATTCAACGAACTTTTGGAGGTGTCCTTGCCTCGCTAGGACCGAGTCGGGATATGTATAATACCCTGGCTGCAGTATTTGCTATACAACTTTGGTTAACTTTTTACAATGTATCAGGCCCCCTGGTTTGGAATGTTACATGCATGGAGATTAGAAAACCATCTTCTTGGGTATGTAATGCAATGTTCGTTCCACACGGGATTCAGCAAATTGGCAGATATCTCAAAATCCGTCGCTATTGTCTTTCATATAGTACGTCTCTTCAGCCATTTCATGCTTTGGAATAACGCTTAACAATGCTCTTGTGTTTATGTTATAGGTACTCGCACACGGACCAATGTTTCCCAAATTTCCAATGAAGACTTGGAGCAGTTTTGACTTCGTTGATGCGAATCAGCAATTAAGAAGGACCTTTCTAAAATGAAAAAAACAAACAAATCACACATCCATCCCATTTCTTGCAAGGTTCGCAAGTTAATTAGGTTAAGCTGCCTTAGAGCCTCCTCCAAGACCAAATTTGATCACATTCGTTTTTGGCTGCGTTGATGTATTCGACACATCAAAAGGAATGTAGGGAAGGCATTTTATTTTTCCATTCAGAACATATTAGCTAATATTCAGCAACTTTGCTGTGAGTTTGTATCGCGAGCAAAGTTGTAAAAGAACAAGAGCACTAAAAAAATAAGCTAAAAAGGAAATTACAGACAAGCATGTGAGGGTAGATGGCAATCCTCGGGATTCATTTGTCCACATAATCCTCCTTTGCATGAAGACACTCGTCCCACTTGGGTACAAAATTGCGTATGCCGGTGGGATAAAGTGATGTGGCTTGACACCGAAGCCCTTCACGTACGGGTAATAGCACCTCTTCATCTGATGTGATCCGTCAGAATCACCGAATAGCCGTCTCACACGAGCATTGTCCGCCTCTGTAATGAGCTGGTTTACCATCACTCATTCACTTGCGCTGCAATGTCGTCCATGATGACAAAAGCAGGCGTCCAAGACGCGGGTATTCAGAATTTTCACCCGACCGCTTCAGAACTTCTCGCATCTGCTATAACAGTTTCTCTCGAAGAACACATCTCGCTATGCTAGGAATATTTTGTGGCGAACTTATATCGATTGTATCCCTTTGGCACACGAACAAATCACACTTCGCTGTTCTGTTTGTGTATTATCTGTAACAGGAACGCTCTTTTTTCCGACTAAACCGCGCATGCATGCCTGTTGCCGATGTTGGCAGATAATGAACGCATACCTCAGCAGCCCATTATAAAATTTCATCATGAATTCTATCAGGAATACGTCGTCTCTTAAATTTGAGAAATTCTTTTGTGTGCCCCTCGTAGAACAGGAAATAAAACTTGCGTCCTTTTCCCTTTTGAGAAGATAATTATGGTGGGATTGAGAAATTTTGCTCTCTTTCATGCCGAAGATAAACATTTAAAAGATCTGATCCCACACACGACAATGAATCTATTAACAACAGAATTCCTTCTTTTTGTTGCATTTTGCAAGGGAACGAAAAGAGAGTGAACTTTTCCATTATCGCAAGGAACAAACAGGTTACTTTCGTATTTTCGAAGTTGCATTCGTTCTCACCTCGCGTCAAAGAATCTTAAAGGATTTAGGATTTTTCTTTCGCGTGTGGCAAAACACGGACAATTTTTTTTTCTGTTTTATTTTCGACAAACTGCCTCATTTTGATCAAGCTTAAAATGTTCTGTCTGCGGATTGTAGGGAGACAATTTGAAGACGATAATGACGGAGGTACCGATTTCGGATGCTGACAGCGTTCTGGTCAACTCGTTTCAAGTGAGAATGCTAGGGGATGATCTGGGGATTTTCAATCAATCTTCCCTGAAAATAATCTCCCATAATTTCAGGACCCTTGTTGAAGTCGGTCTGTCAATATCCATATATATTCAAATCAGATGGAAGCGTGAAATCATAGTTGCGAAAAATGAGATGAAGTTTCATTTCTTCAGATCTTCCGGTGGGAAAAAACATGAATGTAAATGACCTCGAAGCGTTGCCAAAGGGTGTCTACAACGTGAGCATCGTGGTAGAAGACACCAGTCTTCATAATCCTCATGCTTCCAACAAAGTGAGTCTCATGAACGTCCCATTTCCGTTTTTTAGGCAAAATATGTGCAAGAATTACCTATGCCAGTAGCCATAATAAGTGGAGAAATTGTAACATAAGAATAGATGGACATTAAAAAGAAGAAGAATATACGTAATATTGGCAGAAAAATGCGAGGATTACAAAAGAAGTTAGTTAACACAGGGAAATCTGGATGGTCTCCAAGTAGAGCCTATGCTTAGATTGAAGGAGAGGATAAATCATGCTTATGGTCTTGGGTGTCCCCCAACCTGTAACGAATTAAGTTAATAACTATTGCTGGCCGTCATTTCACCTAGTGTGGAAGAGCTCGCCAAAGAGAATTTTCGAGTCATGATGCTGTATGATTTCCAATGCGGCTTCATGAGCATCGGTGCCCTGCCCGAATCACACCAGCTCTTGAAGACGATGGACCAAAGAAATCCACAATTTTCAACTGACGAGCCGAATTCCATCGAGAGCGAGCGAGTCTCGCAGATGAATCTCTCACTGGCCGACCATCTTCCGCAGTGACTACCGAAACAATATGCCTCATTCGATAGACTCGAGGAACATTTCCATTACAGATGTCTTTGGGTGCTTAAAAAATCATCTGGTGCCCACACGCAAGACCGGATCAATTGATGGATGTTACTATCATGAAAATTTGATGAAGGCCGATATTGCCACGTCTACGACGTCATCACCGTTGACACGTCCTTGACATACTGTTTCCGCCTTGAGACGAAGCGGGAATTTACTGTGCGAATCTTCTCAGGTGACCTCAAGCCAAATAAGACCAAACAGCGCGCAGAATGAGCAAGACAATGATTGCCTCTCTTCGGTGTTTCCGGCCTTGTGCCAACAGTGGTGGAGACTGTCAATGCCGAGTGGTACCCTACTATGAAGTGCGCCTCCCCTAGGTCTTCAAGGAGATCCAGGCCAGGAGCTCAAAAACAGGCGAAGCATCCCTCACATAGCACAGGGTTAGTTTTTTGTGGTTCTCAAATACCTGATGGTCGAAGATTTGAATGCCCTGGCAAAGGCACAACTGCATTCATTGACTTTACGCGATAGTTTCCTCTTGAGGCAAGATATGGCTGCTTCCAATAGTTCACAAGGATGAAAAGTTGCGGAGTTGAAGTTGAGCTCAAGGGACCATGTAATTACCATTTGGATTCTCTGATGACTATCCTGTGTCCCCAATTTTCCGAGTGACGTGTGCATTAATGTACACACCCAGAGTGACATGATGCTTGCAAATGGGCGTCCATTGGAACGAAGGAGATTTAGTAGGTCGCAACACGTTCGCTACTTTGTGCGGTATTTCGGTAAAGTTTCAGATCTGGAACCGAAGCTCCGCCCTCCTTCTCCCTTCCGTCTCGGCCACCACCATCCCATCGACCTTGGCCTTTTCTCGTTAAAAGAGAAGGGTCGGAATCGGTACCGTAGTTCTACTTTTCGGAGTACCGCACAACCTCATTAGTTATAGCCCGTGGCGGTCCGATATCCCGATGGAATCAGAGGTGGAGGGTTTCGGTGACAATTACTTGCTTACTGACGAATATATGATTTTCTCGATCTCAATAAAGGTGACTTTCGAAATCCACCTACTATCGAGGAAGGAGATGATAAAGACGAGAGAGGAGATGTTGGAAGGGATAAGGGAGGCCCTTGGGGCATATCCCATAAGTGTCCAAGTGCCCAAGAACACAAAAGGGATCTTCCGCCTCCCTATCAATTCCACTGCTCGTCCTTCGTGGAATTCCTCTTTCTCCCTCCCGTCGTCGGCGAGTGGTGTCTTTCGTATAACCCCGGAGACAGGAATCATCTACATCCCAGACCTGCTTGACTTGAATGTCGGCATGGAAGTGGAGATGAAGGAGGTCCTCGTCCAGTTTAGGGAGCATTCAGAGCCTTGGAGCATTCCCGTGAACATCTCGGTCCGTGTGGAATCCAGCAGCTCCCCCTGTTCCCATGCCACCACCCGTCAATGTGCCAGCTTCGAGGACCCCGAGTCTTGCAGTGGAGAATGCGGCTGCTTTTGGAGGCAAGGGAAGAACACGACGAATCCTACGAACCTCTATTCTACGTGTTCTCAAGACCTTCACACTTGTCCTGATGGCCGTTGTGACGAGTTGGAACAACTTCACCCTTGGCTCTGCCCACAGGACTGTGCACGTAAGTACTCGTTTCACTGATCATCTGATACAGACGCCTAATCTCCGCTGGTCACTTTACGGGTTCTAAGTAAGAATCCCTTCCGATAACTAGGGTCCTAATAACAGACGTAAATTCTATTTTATTTCGTTCGAAGACAAAGCAGCAAGATATTAAATATTGTCAAGCTTTCGATTGACGGCGTAAATATTTGTACAGTTGTATTGATCGAGAGACTTGGTGATGTGTGCCACAGCCCAGACAGTTCTTCATCACTGGGTTCGGTATGTGGGTAAACCGACGGGAAAAAGAAAGTGTGTGCGCAAGAATCGTGATTACTTGGAGAAATGAAGTTTATATCCTAGGAGTGTCAGTACAGTGCAGGGATACTCAGTGAGGGTTGCGGGGCAATGATGGCCCGTATACGAAAATTTTGAGGCACGAGTACTTCTTACCCCTCCGTCGTGTGTTTGTTCCTTTGCGACCTCGAAAGAAGGTGCTAGTTTCCTTATTCGAATCTCTCCACCCGATACCACGCGAGCTTCGTGTTTTTCTGCACATTAAATCTCAAATAAATATGGAAGCTTTCTGCTAAGTTTCGAAGGCAGTAATTTCTTCAAATTGGAGAATCGAAATTCGCAGTTAAAAGCATTCTGTGTTTCCTCTATGCCATGTGTCACTTTGATGCGTTTCAGCATGACTGAGTGCAGGCAGAAGGCAGTCTGCGAACAAATAGATTTTTTTAATACTTCTTACCTTGTGCCATTACGTTTGCTTTGTGTTCTCATTGCATTTTTATGATAGCTTTTAATGCTTTGGTGCAGGTCTCCCAATAAAGTGAGAGTCTCATTCGTCTGAGATATATATAAAGCAACACGAGGCTCGCAAAATATATTGGTAGGAGTTTTTTTAAAATGAAGTATTGATATTAATTTTTTAAATCTAATGCATTCGACATAACACATTTTAAGAGGAACACATCAATTTCATAACTAAAACTGTCGCCATTTGCGCTTAGCGTTGTTGCGTGAAAAAAGTGAAGCACCTCGCAAAGAGCAGCTAGCAGTTAGCTGCATTTTCGATACTTAAACGAGAAGTTATTATATTCAAAGAACTTGGTTGACATTTTGTAAAACTTTGCAGAAGTCTTCCTCATCCGTTCGAGATGTGATGTACCGAGGCCTGGGCCTCAAATGACATTGAATGGAATTATTTGAAAAATGATAATGTCACAATTTTTCGCAATCGTTATAAGTTAATCCCCCTACCTCCTAACACAAGTTGAGCTGATTCTTCCCCCCCCCCCCCCCCCACACCTCGTCGCGAGCTTGCGGCGACCAAAATTTTCTTATGGTCCGCCAATGGCTGCCTACCATTTTTAAAGTCAGCGAACCCCTGGAATAGTGTTACCCTACCTTTATTGAGGTATTTCCACCAGCCCAAGTGGTTGCAAAAATAAAATATTTTCGTGCTGTTTCATTAAAAGTTTCAAGGAGCTGCCCGTTTTCATGCCACATCCGAGTGTTATGCATCAGGCATAAATGCAGTGTTCACCTTAGAATTATGCATTATGAATTAGCTCAGCGTTAGGCATAGGTTTATCTACTTTGTAATAAGTATAGATCAATGAACATTGCTTACATCGCGACCAGAACATAAACGTAACCCTCTATCATATATGTATGTACGAGCAGTCCATTTTCGTTATTTTTCTTTGCGATTTTCTGATTTTCATCCTAATATCCCATTAGAGATTCCATTGAAAACTGTTGCTAAAGCGAAATCCTGAAACGAACAGGCACCGTGGTGGGATTGGGGCATTCCCCAGGGATCACATGTGATGGAGAACGAGGAATCTTCCATGCACGAGGAGTTTGTAGCTGCTTGAAAGATGACGAGTGCTCCTGCAAGGATGCCACAAATGAAGAAGGTATTACGTGTTCCTTCTCTTCTACCGAATATTTTTTGAGCATATGAAATGTACTATTGATTGCACTGGACTTGACCTTGGCATATTTTGGCATGGACAGCATAAGACACGTATTAGCGATTTCGCGGTTTCACCACATACGAGTCCATCCTTGCCAGCAAGGGCCAACTTGCAAATGGTAAATATGCGTCAATGGCGATGTTATTATCAAAGAAAGGAAGTCTCAAAAGAAAGTTAATGCCAAGTTGCATTAGGCCCACCTTCCCTCTATTTTTTTGCAGGGCTTGCAACCTTTAGAATCAGGGGACTCCGCTTGTATCACCTATTCTCGTAGTTGCAGGGGAAACTGTCATTCGAAGAAATATTGAATGTATTGAATGCTGTTTTGACTATATACTGTTTTTGCTTTTCCTGTGTTTGGTATCTGATTGGAAAGAAAGTTCTCGGAATTTCTTGAATATCCAGTACAATTTTTTTCCAGAGCATGCTAGAATGTTCTGCGTGTGTTTATAAGTAGGTCGTGTCCTTCGGCATACAACCGTATATTATTACAGCCCTGGTGCTCTCCAGCCATGAACCAGCCCTACCCTCTTACTAAGGAGCAAGTTCGCCTGCTTCTT